TATAACTTTACTTTAAAACTAACCCCTAACCCTAACCCCTATCCCTAAAAAATGCACCCCAAAAATTTTATTTTTCGTGATTTTATATTATAATTTCATTTTGATCTGGATTTCATTAGATCCGCCACATTTATTATATTTAAAAATGATGTATTTTGATTGGTTGATTATCAGGTAAATCACGGGTAGATCTACACAAATTAACCAATCATATGGTCTGTAATGCTTTCTGAACATTTTTACTTAATTTTGTGAATTTGCCAACCAAGTATAATTTACAGATTTTTCCTGGTCGTCACTCATTTCGCGTAGAGCTTTTTATATATTATATATACATGGTATAAAAAAAATATATATATATCAAGTTCCGAGACAAAATCTATTTTATTTCAAAAAAAAAAAAATCGTATGCAAACCAGTACGATTTTTTCCTAACCGGAACTTAAAAACTAGCGATAGTCTTATAAATGACCGTCTTAAAACTCGAGGCGGAAATTGTCTTACGTAGACGGAAATCTCCGATATTTTAGATACATATATATTTTTACAATAGCAATTCTGATGCCAATACTTAGATATGCAGGGGTATATGAAAACAGGGGTGACGATCTGCATTACTTATCTGTTATAAATATTTTTTATCGTAATTTTTTGACTTTTAACAATTATTATAAACATGACCGATCCTGGAAATGCAAATACTCTCAGAAGGGGTGAACCGTATGGTTTCCAGCTTCCGACTCCTAATATAAATGCTTTTGAGGAAAGTTCTGAGCCAACATCTTTTGCAGGAGGTCCTATTAGACATCGCAAAAAACGTAATCATACAAATACACCATATACGCGAGTTGCTAGTTCACCTAATCCAAACCCCCAAGGGACTCACTGGCTGTTGAACATTGTTAAGAAATATATCCCACAGTGGCTGAGATCGATTATATGGCCCACAGCAAGGCCCACCACTGAGGATACAGCTATGGAAATAACTTCAACCGAAAACGAAACGATCACGGGGAACATTGTGCAAAGTTCTATAGAAGAACTAAACAACGCAATAGTGAGGCATGAAGAACAACCCCAACAATCACAATTGGATACAATAACAAAAATGAATTTAAAGAGCAAATTTAACAGATCAAGTTCAAAGATTGCTGCAAGATTCGGTCGTAGGATGTATTCAAACCCTCTACACAGACGAGGGACTATTCCTAGAAAAAGGGTTAATCATGTTTCAGCACGAGAAGAGGATCTCCTTTATCCGGATGAGATAAATGGATCATTATCAGATAAAGAGCAACTCCTTGAAATACCGGCGGATTGGTATAAGCCTTTCAAAAATTTGGCAGTGAACGATTCATTTTCAACATCATCATCAGGAACGTCGACACCTTCACAAGAACCGGACACAAGCAAAAAGTCTTTATCCCAAGGGCCTCCTCTTAAGAAGTTTAAATCAGATCTTGTTCCAGACATAAATTGGTTCAACTATCACCCTTCAGAGAAAAGAGTGTCCATTCCTGCAAGTTCGACTTCGAAAAACCAAAATATTTCTATTGATGCCAATTTACCGAAGGTTCCTTTCAGTAATTCTTCGGTCACTGTTTCCAAACCAGATGATTCTGAATCATATCTAAAAAATGATGAGGAACTTAGTACTACCCCTTTGGTACCACCGAGATTCACTCAAATTGTTGATCATACAGTAAAAAATGAACATTATTATAGTGAAGCAAAGAAAAAACTTGATTTTACTACAAATGGATTAGTTAGCACTATTTCTGCTTTCACACCTATTTCAAAAGATATTTTATCGTTCAGTACTCCTGTTAATAAATTAAAAAGATCAGTTAATCAGAATATTGACAAACCTCTGGATAAACCGGTTGAAACCCCAGATGTTACTGAACCAACTGTTGTTAATAATGAAATCGAAGAGACGGAGCCCACTGAAGTTCAGCCTGAGCCTGAGCCTGAACCTGAGCCTGTGCCTGAGCCTGTGCCTGAGCCTTACATAATCACAAGCGTGGAAGAAAGAAAAGACGAGGAAGATAACAAGGAGGAAGAGAAAAGTAAAGATGATAAAGAAAATATGGTTGAGAAAGATAATGAGAGAGCAGAGGGTCAAGTGGATAGTGAATATAAAGAAGGGGAAGAAAATAAAGAAGTCCAAGAAATCGAAGAAAACAAAGAAAGCGAAGATACTAAAGATGAACAAGAAAACAAAGAGAAGGAAATCAAGGAAGACAAAAAATAAGGCTTTTGAGTTTTATACACCCGTTACTCGAGCACCAACTTTAGCTTCAAGTCCACCATCTGGCTCACCAATGGACATTGATATGGGTAATAATAACATAAACCAACAAGCCCCCGGGGTATCTATTTCAACTTTCCCCACGACGCAATTTAACTTTGGGGGAGATCTCGGAAATGTTTTCTTTAATAATAGTAGCTTGACGGAAGTGTCATCGAGCAATATGCCTAAATACTCTAGGTCATTAAGTCTTCGAGGGAAAAATCGAAGACATGGTAGTCACTCGGTAACTGGCAATGAAAGTCGTAATTTGTCAATTCCAAAAACGGGGTCTTTCGAAGGATCAGATTTCAGTAGAATGATGTTACCCGCGGGAAGCTCATTTAGTTTTGAACTACAAAAGGATACAACAACAATTCCGTCCATCCAGCCTGTATCGACATCAACATTTAAATTTAACCAAGAGACTCCTATTACATCTACTGAGTCTCCGTTTCAAACTAATGGGGCAACTTTCAGTTTTCAATCGGCCTTTCCATCACAGCCTTTCTCTGCACCGGTGACCTTTAGTAATAACTTTGGTAGTGGATTAAATCTTAATCCCCCAGCAACTCCAATTTTTAATATGAACGGTGATGGCCAAGTTTTCCAGAATGGAACGAACACTGATGTACAAAAAAATATACAATCAAGTAACGTTGGTAGGCCAATAGCCAATATGCGTAGACGTCGAAATAAATAGTAATCTACATTGACGGATTATATAATGGCTATGGTAGATAAAGTCTGAACATTTAATGTATTTTATACTTTGAGTTGTGATTTATAATGTGTTTTTAGTGTTGAGATTATATAAAGAATTGAAAATGATAATAGAATGTATACGGTTTAAATATATGTACCGTTTGTTTTAATGATGCATTTGATCTTATCGTGATATATTAATGGGCATAGATCGGTGATTTTGAAATTACATCGTAAGGTTCTTATATATATATAATCTCAACTTATATTCTTGCCTTTGATAACCAATCTACAGTAAATATTATTACATTACAAAACATTTAAACAATTATTTTATTATGTACGAAATGTTAATAAGAAAGTAAAAAGAATTTAGCAATTTTATTGATTTAATAATTTTATATAATACACTGATTTATAATTTAATGATTTGTCTTAATAAGGATGTAATATAAACCTCTCTATAATCACAAGCTTGGTTTAAAGAATTTGTTGCTTATAGAGAGTTTGTGCTTATATAGAGGTTAAATTTTATATGCATTATATAAGTTGTTTTAAAAATTTATGTAATTATAAGCAAATATAATTATAGAAAGGGTGATTATACAGAGGTTGACTATAATTGTATATGGGGACGCCAACAGCAAAAGTGGGAGATGGGACTATATATTATATAGCCCCATCCCCTGCTTTTGCTGTGGGCGTTCCCATATATAAAAACTGTATTTATTACCAAGCATATTAGCTAATTTGTAAAATTTTAAATTAGAGTTTATTTTTTTAAAATTTTAATATTAAATAACTTTTTATAAATTAGGTTATTTAAAATAATTTTGCTATTAAAATATTCTTTTTAAAATGATTCTAACAAGTATATAATCATCTAAATTAAATTACAGAATTATGAAATATTGTGCTGTCAAATAATGATGCACCTTTTCATGGGTTTGATGGTATCAAACTCATGAGAAGTGTATCATTATTTGATAGCACAATATTTCATAATTCTGTAATTTAATTTAGATAATTATATACTTGTTAGAATTATTTTAAAAAGAATATTTTAATAGCAAAATTATTTTAAATAATCTAATTTATAAAAAGTTATTTAATATTAAAATTTTAAAAAAATAAACTTTAATTTAAAATTTCACAAATTTTGGGCTTCCTCTTTCTCCTCCTATAACTAATGGTAACTAGTTTTAAATTAGTTTATAAATAGAAAATTAAGAGGTGATTTGCTACATTTAGGTAGTTATACAAGATATAATAGATAGTTAAAATTTAATATCATCTTGATACAAATCTGTAATTAATCTTATTATATAAAAATTCAAAATAAAAAAAAAATAAAAAATTCTACAAATTAGCTAATATAGTTATTTTTTTTAATATTAACTAGTCTTTTTGAGCTCAGATTTTTATTCAAGTATTGCTAAGTAGAAAGGTTATAGCTGAAGTTTCAAAGAAACTCCTTTATATTAGAAAGTACAATTAGTTATACAAACAACTTTTGGTTGCCTATTTAAGTAGTTTGTATATTAGTATTATACTATAGGTTTTATACTAGCTACTATACTTACAACTCAACTAGAGAGTTATCTATTTAAACTCTCTGTAATACTACTCTACCTGTATCACTAATATATCTTTGTTACAATTATCAGTCAAAAAAAGTCCTAACATATATGTACAACTCTTCTTGATAATTACTTGTATTAAACTTATGTCTAACAAAAACAGAAATTTGTTGGAGAAAAGTAAAAAAGACAACTACAAATAACAGTTTTTACAAAGGTCAAGGCTTTTTTTATTCTCTCAGACTTCTCTGTATATTCAGTATACAAGTTAAAAACATTTATGTACAAGATAACTGGCAAGAAGGTAGTGCTTTTATATAGAAAATTTTAATAAAAGCTCTGCTTCTGCTAATGAAGTTAAAGATAGTTGGTCTAAGAAGAACAATAAGCGAGTTTTCAACACATTCTTTACTGAAGTTTAAAGCTACCTACAAGCTAAAACTCTCTTCATATCCCCACTCTTGGTCTTTATAAAATTTCTCCAAAAAGTGAGAAAAATGGTATATCCCTATCAAAAGATCGATAACAACTATTGCTACTGAAAAAGAAAAGATTCGTATATATATACATATCTACTTTTAGTTTTTTTTT